TTATTCTGAAGGTAACTTGATTTCATCGGGGTGATTTGATTTTACCCAGTAAAGACGAGAACACCACAATTTTAATCTTTTTATCGAGATTGTTTTTAGAATTGTTCATATCTGTGTTATCAATTCGTAATATAATGACAAAAATATAACAATAACACTTAAATTTAGAGAGGTTTCATCTCAACTGAAACATTATAAGAGAAAAGGTATTAAGAGGCTTATGGAACCTCGCCACATCGTTAGAGTTTATGTTGCCACATAAATTTGTGCATTTTTGAAATACTTCTACAGCGCAGTTTCCATTACATAAACCTCCGTCGTAAGGCTGTCCTGTCCAAAGCACACCACTTCTCCCTAAAGATCTCTTTATAAGCATAACCGAAGAAAAAATGTTTCCCAGCGCCAGTTTCATCTCATAGAAATCCATAGGCGTTGGGTTCAACGACTTGACCAGTATGCCTTCATAAGGAATACCATGAATACTCCTTTCATTTTCCAGCTATTTTAGATATGCAATGATTTAACGGGAGATTTGACTGGAAGTCTGACCTTGGGTAAATCATACCCTGTTGACTTCGTTTCCACACGGACTTCTTGATTATGTTTCCTGACGGAGATACTTCCGTACTGTTGCCTGGGGCTCGTGGACGGCTTTTGCTACTGAATTTTGTGTTCGAGGCCTCTCAAGTGTTACAAGAAAGATGCCGTACTCTATTTACCGTTGCTGAGGTACGACTTGTTGCAGGTCTCTTTCTGGATGAGCGTGGTTGCCTCAACTTAATCCATATTTATTTATATTCCATTGCCATTAAGCATAAGGGATATTTCTATCTCGGAAACTCTAAATCCCCGATCTGAACATATCTATATGATCTAAGTATGTAAATATTTTGTGTTAGAAAGGACTATTATATACCCTTCCCAGAAGTGATCGAAAAACATTTTCTTTATTTATTCTTATCTAAAAACATTTAGGGCGGAGTGGTGTGCTTTGAACATGACAGCCTTACGACGGAGCCAAACAATGTCAAAATGTGTTTCTGATACATGAGACCACTACTCGCTACCTAATATCGGGTGAAATTGTCACATAAGTTGCTTATTTGTATATTCAAAGTCATTTTAATATAACAAAGCCAGGTCTGTATTTAATAACTATTCTAAAGAGTAAGAAGGGAAACTACGAAACCGGTAAAATAAATTTTGAAGGATTGCGCAAACCTTTTATTTTATTAACGATCCATTTGAAGTGGATGCAATTTGTTTTGTGTACTATATATGTTCCAAGTATAAGATCTAAGGATTAATAAAGTTAAATACATAAATAACCATCAGACCTATCAAAATTTGTTTCATAGCCCACGTTACAATATAATTACCTCGATTTTCAATCCAAATCTTTAACAAATTTGAAGTAACTGATGAAAATGTTTTGGTTTCAGTGGTAGTTTTTAAGTACCTAAGCTACCACAAGAACTGAAAATGCACCTTTATTACGAACTGCTATTACGGTTCTTGTTTAGTCGCAGTCAGCTTTCCTAATAAATGCAAATACTGTTTATGTTTAAGTAAGAAAAGTACATTTATGATCCATACCCTGTTATAAAAATGTTCACCGATCATTTACCTTTTATTTAACAAAATATTACTATAAATATATGTAACATTGCTTTCAATATTAATTTTATTCATAAGAAACAAGTTATAACGTGCCTTTAAATCCATTATGGTAATAAATTAACATTAAATATATTATTCTTTAGATACAGTTAGAGATCAGTACTGGGTGATTCCTACGTCAGGAAATGAAGAATTTCAATTGAACCAATTTTGGCCAGAAAAAGATGATGTGAAAAACGTAACTATTTTAGGCATTGATTACAGACAAGGTCAATGGGAATATAAGTGTAAGTATTCACTCTTCTACAAAGAATATCTATAAATAGTAAATACAAAGTTACTGATTTTTAAATTAACGTTTGTTTTTTTCTAAGCGAAAATAAAAGTAATTGTAATAAAAGGTATGAGAAAATTCAAGAGTTGGTAGAAAAAAAACTTATCTTAAATAAATAGTAAGTTTTTTTAAAAACAAATTCTTCCGCCTTTCAAACATCAATTACTGACGTAACTGACGCAACCGAATTTAAGCTGCTGGCTTCATGAAAACAATGCATGATACAATTAGATATGCTGGCTGTCGGCATAAGTCAAAAAATATTTTTATGTGGTATTGCAAAAGGGTCTTTTAAACATTTTTTTTTTATAAAACAGTTTTGTGACAGTATGTTCCTCCAATTGTTTTATCTTTCAGAAATAATAACTCAAAATATCCGTTCTACAAGAAAAGAAACGATAGAACATTTATGTATATTACCTGATTTTGAGCAATAGTTATAGATTTACTAGATAGCATTAATAAGTAAGAGTTAATCTATTAATCTGATCAAACTTCCTTAACATATACGATATTTAAAAAGTGTAACTCTTTCGTGGTATTTCTTATTAAGGTTAAGACTGATATACGAGTAAACAATCATACAAAATAAACAAATTACATAACTTATAAGGGAATAAATATATTTTTTTAATTCTTACACAAATTAAAAGACTATAAAACGACAACATCATCCAACTGAATGGATTGTGGCAGTAGATAAAAAATCAAGTTTCTAAATTCGAAACGAAATTTAAATGCTTAAAAGTTAAATAATTTTAACGAGGTATTTAACTCCCAGTTATGTTCTCTAAAAGTTTAAACGATCTATATTTGAACATTGAAAATAAAGAAACACTGTATAAACATAACTGTTAATTGTATATGAACAATAGTTCGCATCATTACAAAGTACTCATTTTGATTTATCAAAATATACCTTAAACAATAAAAAAAAATATTAAAAGTAAAATACATATATAATATTAATTTCTTAAAATTAGTACTCATTATACGTCATCGTTTTAGTGAAAAAAAGACTGTTTATGAAATCAGTAAGTTATTTTCGTAGGTTAAGGGTTATATTTGTTTTATTATATAACATCTTAACACAACATAACAAATATGTTATTTTTTTAATAACACATATTCTTTATTAGGTTGAAGAATGAAAATTTAATATTATATGTTACATATCTATGAAAAAATGCATACATCTAGTAGTTTAACGAAACTAAAAATTATAAACTACGCAGATCTATTAATGTAATAGGTTGGTCCTCTTATAATAAAGTACAAAAATGCTATAAAAATAATCTATATCATAGCTAACATTATCCTTCTTTAAGTTGTTTAATATTTGCAACAACAATAAACCTAATATCATTATTTTTACATAAAACTTCTAGAAAATCTACATAAACCTTCTAAGAAACTACATCTCAAAATGTTATTAAAAGTTCTTCCATATTCTTGAAGTTTCTGCTTATGATAAGCATGATGAATTTCTATATTTGTCTTTTTGTTGGCATATTAAAATTAAATACGAACTAATAAAGATTCTAAAGTTATTTAACGTGCGTGAATTCATTGCCAAATAGTATTTTCTAGAACAGATACGTAGAGGTCACTAAGTACAGGGGAAAGGGAAGATTATATTGCTAAGACCATTATTTTGTTTGTAAAACTGGACTTCGAAGGTAAAATAAGTGTCTTTAAGCTGTAATCTGTTAGGTTGATAAGGTGGTCTGTTACAGGATTGTCTTGTTCTAGTTTGTTTTTTTTCTCTTAAACAGTGTAAGACCTGTTCAACGGGTATTGGGGTAAGGAGAGATTTTATGTCAAAAAGCACCAAGATATTTTCTTGGTTTAGTTGAAAGTGTTTGATTCCACTACGAAGTCTAGAGAGTTTTTGAAAGAATAAGTATTAGTTTCAAGTAGAGTGTTTAATCTATTGACTGATAATTTAGCAACGTTTTGTACCAGTGAGCCTATGCTGAATATTATAGCTCTTCCTAAAACTAAACAAAAATAACATTTATTTCAAACCTCTTTACGTCAGTACCTGTCAAATAACTAATCAGAGAAAGAATAACGTGTCAGTAGTTTTATTTATACAGTTGGTAAATACTTTATTGTAAATGTCAATAGTGAATTATGTGTGTATTTTATTTCGAAATAAAACATATCATATGCTAAATTCACTAATTGCGTTAAGAGTTTACACATAGCTGACTTGTTTTTGCCTCCAAGTGGCACGCCGATATGTCTGCGGACTTACAACGCTAGAATCCGGGTTTCGATACCCGTGGTGGGCAGAGCACAGATAGCCCATTGTGTACATTTGTGCTTAATTACAAAGAAAGAAAAGAAAAAAACTTGTTTTTATTTCTGAACTAAATGTCCTATATTAACAACATAAAGTTTCAGTTGTTGATTTTTTTAGGTTAACCTATCACAGTGTTGTCAGCTTGATTAATTTTATCTAATTACATTTTAACGTAGACGTTTATCTCTTCACATTTGTTTATTATCTAAATGTCATTGTTATTAGTATATATATGACACTATAAAATTGTTTATTGATCTGAATTTGCAAAAATCTTAAATACAGCTCCTATCTGTGCCATCAGTGCTATAGATTAGTATTCCTAAAGTATAACTTTTTGTTCAAATACTATACCAAACAATTTGATACAGAAGTAGTTGTATGTAAATAAAACCGAGAATACTCTAAATGGATACTCTTCGTTGTTGCTACAAAAGTGTTTTAGAAATCCAGTTATTTATTACAATAATTGTGGATTTTGTTTGCTTGTAGTTAAGCAAAAAGCTACACGATGGTTATCTGTGATATGCCCATCACGGGTATCAAAACACGGTTTCTAGCGTGATACTGGGGGAGCGCAATAATTTTGGAACAGATAAAAGAGTTTTCTATTTAAGAATTTATTTTGAAAAGCTCTTTCATAATACCATCGATCAGTTAAAAAAAATTCTAGTGATATATTTTCAAATTTATGTACAGTTGTTACAAACCTGGACATAATGTTCTGATGTTGGGAGTTTCTTCCACGCAATACTTAATTTCAGAACAGTATACAAAGTTGACTGGACAAGGCAGTTTTTGTGATGTTCCATCCACTGTCAATGGAGGGCAGGCCCTAAGGATAAAATGTCCGATTTCAGAACAGTAGGAAAATTTTAAATAGATTCATAGTGAATAATGTAATGTACAAACTTTCAGCTCTTACCTCCATCTCTTGACCGATTTGAGATCTAATTACAGCCGCAGCTATTGAAGATTCCCTCTTGTTTGAAACATTTTGAAAGATTAGGTCACAGGTTTACAGTGGTGATTAATAATGCGTGCTTTCTAAACAAACAAAAAAGGTTATTGTTGTTGTTAAGCACAAAGTTACACAAAGGGCTATCTGTGCTCTCCCCATCATTGGTATCGAAACCCGGTATCTAACGCTATAAGTCCACAGACATACCGCTGTGCCACTGGAGAGAGGGGGTAACCAAAAAGGGAGACAGACTACATCAAATGTATCTTCATAGAGTACCAACAGCTATTAAGACCAAGAGCTTTAATACATTTTATTAAGATAAGAATCACGATATCCATTCTCCCTTCGATGAATAATTCGACTACACACTTTTTACGAGTCAGTAGATATGAACCAATTATTTAAAAAATGTTGTAATTCTGGTTATTGTGTTGAATTTGACAAACTTTGTTTTGTTCGCACATTATATTTTGATCTAAGAAAGTTCTACTTAACACGTCCCTCAGGAACCAATGGGTGTCTTGACACTACAATTTGTTGAATGTTAAAAATAAGTTCAATCCGGAAAGTCGAAAAGAGGGTGGTTTTGTTTGTATCTTTTCGAGACAAGTTTTCGTTTGTTAATTGATAAATTTTTAAATGAAATACAACATCCTCCATACTAGCTAGTACTAAGGTCTACCTGCTGGGAGTAAATTAAGTATATATCAATAAAGCTACATTCTCAACATCATTAATTAAGGAACTGCCAACCGTTATTTCTTCTGCTATCACCTTTGTATGCTTAGCTTTCAATTGAAATATGAATGATTTCACCTGCGATTTGGTAGGGAAGATCGAAGCATCACGATAGTCAGCAGTAGTACGAGCAGACAGGAATAGTTTGAAAGCAGCTATAGGCATAATATTGTATTCGGTTTGCTGCACAATATTTACCAAGGTGGTTCTGAACGGTTTCTGAATACCTCTGTGTGTCATTTGGAGACTTCCATGTTCCTTGTGCTTGGCCATTAAGCTCGTGATGCGCTGACGGATTTCATTTACCTCACCACTTCAAATCACTTTTCGCAACCCCAACGCTAAAAGAGTGCAGGAAATGCCTTCTTCTAATCCAATGAACATGTCCAAAAAATTATTTTCAAATAAAAAAAAACGAATTGGGTAGTTTTGTTTTTGTTTTCCAATAAAATATTGTCCTCCACTGGCTCGTGAAGAACCTATTAAAATATGTTATCATTACAAATACATATGTTTAAGTTCGTTATATCACAACGATTTTAAATATTAAAATCAGCAAATGACACGAAAACCATTGGTTATATAAATTTACGGCGAAATGGCGTGCATCAGAATCACATTTTTGGAATTGCTTGGCGTTATGTATTTATTGCTATGTTACCGAAAATCGATCGCTTTTTGGAAGGGAATATAACACAATATATTTATACACTCACGTCATAAGGATCTGTTAAGATCGGGGACATAGAAGTTCCAAGTCGGGTATATGTTATCCCTTTTACTCAATGACTTTAGAAAAGAAAGGAATATGGATCAATTTAGGGCACTAGGACCACCCAGCTAGAGACCTGCAAATAATCGTCGCTCAGTCTTGGTAAGTAGCTAATTTACACACTGGACTGAAAAAGAAAAGTATACCTCGTATATCTATGTTCCTTTACCACTTCATCTGCTGCTGAGTTTCCTAAAGAACAAAAGAAACAAGACAGATATTAAAGAAATTTTGTTGGTTAATCAATCATATATTTTATTCCCTATGGATGTTATTTCCATGATACAATATTACTATATTACAATAAATGTAGTCCATATACTCTGATTTAATTTTTGGTAATTTGAAGCAGAAGATTTTATGAAGAAAAGTACAAAGTTAAAAAATCGTTTCATCGAATTGAATCTATTAACATAAGTTAACATATTTAAATGAATATTTTTTCAACGTAAACATTATTTAAACTTTAATATGTATTTCATTTTAGAGCAAAGATACACAATGGGCTACCTGCACTCTGTCTTCCTACGGGGAATCAAACCCCGAATGTTAGTGGCGCTAATCCACTGGGAACCTACCAGTTGCGCAAAAAATAAATTGAAGATTTTTCACATAAATAAAATTCAAAGAAACATGAATTAAGTAGTTTAACCCTTTCAGTGCACTGAAAAATATACGTCCTAACCGCAGTGAAAGAGTTAACAAATATGTACGCTAACCACATTAACATACGACATACTTAGTCTTTAGTGTCTCCACTGTTTTTACCATTGATGAATTATTTATAATATTTTACAAATATTTAAGAACATAATTACTTAATTTTACCGCTAGTTGGATGTTTATTTACGTTTTTTTTCTTTAAGCAAGCACTTGATAATAGCCGTTCATCAATTGACCCTCGTGTGAATATTTCTGTATGTTTATACGTTCCTGACACTAGATCATCAACTTTACTATTATTTCATTTTTAAAAAAAGTTTCATAGTACAATTTCGAACTGATTTCTTGCTTGTTTTGGTAAGGCCCGGCATGGCCAGGTGGTTAGGGCGCTCGACTCCCAATCTGAGGGTCGCGGGTTCGAAACCCCGTCACACCAGGCATGCTCGCCATTACAGCCGTGGGGGCATTATAATGTGACATTTGGAGAGTATACCAAAAGTTGGCGGTAGATAGTGATGACTATCTGCCTTTCCTCTAGTCTTACACTGCTAAATTAGGGACGGCTAGCTTGTGTAGCTTTGCGTGAAATTCATAGCAAACCAACTCTTTCTGGTTTTTTTTTTTTTTGTTTAGCATCTAATATTTTAGCATTTAACATAATTTAAATACAAATAGATTAATACAGAAAAGTAATCTCACCTTTATTATTGTTGCTGACACCCTAAAAAGTTAATAAGAATTTATTAAGATTAAAATGGATAATTGGGTATAATTAATATATAGCATTTAAAATGTGTAATATGAACAGAACACCAATGTCCTAAAGATAGATATTGTACTAGAATTACTGACTGATATAAGAAAGAACGATTTCCTACAAGTAAATAAAACATTTATCTCATAATGAAACAATATTATGCATAACATGATCTAATAACGACGGCGATTTGGAGTGTGTCGGTTCTCACTAATCTAGTTAACATTGACTTTGTTATATAACATTCCTATCCATAACAGTTCGGTCCTATGTCTTGTCTAGCTACAGTTTTATGATATGCCTTTCCCTAAACTATCCTGTGTATTTATTTATGGAAGCAAATCATTGGGCGCAAATCTTTTTTCTTTTCGAAAGCACCCACTATACACACACACACTCACACACACATATATATATTACACATACGTTTTTATTACTATTTTTAATACACACATAAACATGTTTTCAAATTTTCAATGTTCTTCATTTTGTATAGGCGACAAGTAATATTTCTTTTAGAATTCAATAAAGTTATTCACAAAGATTTCCAGAATGTAATGTTATAGATAGAGGTTTGAACAGTACTCGTCTTATATTTTATGTTGTATTACACGAAACATTCATACATACAACATACAAAACATGAACGTCACTTTGGTTTGTTTTCGGCGACATGTAATTTACTACCTTCTCGCTCAGCTACATCCTAATTCACGGCGTTATAATTGAAATGCTTAACAAATAAAAGGGTGTAAGGAGAGGAAGAGGTCCAGTGCGATCCTAAACATCCAAGGTCTTGTGACCAAAACCACGACCACGATCATACAGTACGTTCTTCCAATTGCTTATCCTTTCACATTGGATCTTTAGGATGTCCACCTGACCTTCCATACCAAATATAATCAAATACTCAACTCGACGTTAATACTGAGAGAAAACAAAACGTGTTCTCGTATTTTTCATCAACTTTAATTTATACACAAATCTATTAAATATTATTTTAAACACGTGTGACTAAAGATAACGACCTTGTAAAGAAAGTAAACTATTATTTTAAACACGTATGACTAAAGATAACCTAAAATATGCATTTCTAAAGTTGACGAGCAACGAACTTGTAAAGAAGATAAACTAAGTTAAACTGAAGTAAGACACGTTTCCGACTGGTAATAACCACTCTCACGTACGTGACTTTTCAACTTTATATTCCTACGGAAAGACGAGTCATACTAGCTACTTTACCAAATAACATGTTTATGTTTTTCTTATTGATAGTCATCTTGTAGTGGATTCAACTTATTCCTTTGTGTAATAAAGACAAGTAAACTTGTAAACGACATAACTTTGGAAACAGTAAAAAAAACAACGTATTATCAACCTGGCTTATTAGTATGTAAGATACATGTAACATGTTTTTTGGTTGATATATATTTGGGAAGTATCATAAAAAATGGAAGGTAAAAATTTCGAAGCAAATTTTAAACTACTTCACAAAATTTCTTGATAATAAGTCATTTTAAGTAATAATAACAATAACTGAGTTCTTATAGTATTCAAGTAACAAAATACAATAAAAAATACAGTGTAAATTCAAGTTTAATAGCAAAGAAAGATTACAGAAACAATCACAGAACGCATATCCTGGTCTGAGTGCCTAAAAATAAAAATCAGTCTGTTAGAGAGTGATTAATGATGTTTATAGAATGTAAACTACTTTCATCTTGTTCCGTAAATTACCCAAACAATAAATTTTTCAAATCGTATAAATTTCGTGTTAGTTCTTGTTACTTACTTATTCTGTAAAAGTTTAAATGAGTTAAAAATCGTCTTCTCATGTAGTTCATTATAGCAAGAAAAATCTAGTTTTAATTTTCTCACACGCAAGACAATTGTTTTTGGTCACAGAGTTAGTTTCAGAATATCCACAAATAAATCTTAGATGTGTTTTGAAACCTGTTCTGAGATTTTTAAATATAGTCATTAAAAATAAATATTATTTTCCAATCAATCACACTAATATAAAAAACTCATGTTCACGTATACCTTGCAAAGTACATATATCAGTAGTTGCATAAGCTAGTTTCTTCCTTAAACTATAACCTTGATTAATTTATAGTAAATATGTTTAAATCTAAATATAAAGGTAATTAAAATAAACTAGTTTCCTGTAGATTTTTTCTCAACAAACATTCAGGTTTTGGAAGGTATGAGTTAATGAAACTAAAATAAATAGAAAACTATTGGCAACATAGTTTGTTTCGTTATATTTTCAACAATTTGAGCTTTTTCGTGAATAAATAACATATACTATTATGTAATGAATATGTTAGATCGATTATCAAAGTTGTTCCATCGCTTTCCAAGTAGTGTCTTTCATTATCGTGTAACAATATTTTATGTATACTTAAAATTGGACAGATGTTCATATACTTACGTAATTTGCCAAAGATCTTGAGAGTTTTGCAAAGAGGAATCCAGGATCACAATCGCATGTTGATCTCGCTATTCCTTGTTCTTCCTGCGGTAATTGTTATATCACATATATATATATATATATATATATGCTAATCCAAAGAAATGAAAGAAAAAACTTCTAATATGGTATAAAACAAATATATCTGAATACCATTCCGACATTCAAGCGGCTACGAACTTGTTTGAAGGTTTCTAATACTCAGCTTCATAGCATTTTGCACTTCCTACTTCTTAGAAGTTCGATATTCCCCGTTTTATCTTCAAACTTCATCATTAGGTTTTCTGATGATGGCTTATTAATATGTGTAACAGGGTTGACTGCTGGTTGCGTGATGACGTTACTGACAAAATGGCGAACTGCGAAACTGTTCAGATATTACAAACAAGACTAACATAGAGACTAGAGGCAACTCATTTCGGAGTATTTGGTCTATACAGGAAAGGTTAGAGACACACCGACACATAACCAGACTGATACTAGACATTCTACTCAAGGTTATGGAACGACAAATTTCCTACTTAATGAATATTATCTGGGATATTTCGACTTGGCAACAGTGTCAGTGGGCACGTGTATGGTCACAATCATATTGATATTTCATGGTACAACCAGTAATCGACGAATTTTGATTAGAGCAAGATTGTACCCTATTCTAACTTCTCAATGTACTACAAAACATAGGAATGGGTTTAAAGACGTCAGTAAAACCACAGTTAAGATAGTTTAATAGCGTGTCATTCAATTAATCACGTGTATGAATTGACTAATTGGATTATTATAGATTCCATCTACTTCCTATAGAAACACATTTCAGGGAAAAACTTGGAAATTTTCATCCCCGTTTGCGTTGCTTGGAAATGATCATATAGCTGAAAATCTATAGTTAATGTATCAACAAGCGTCTACCTTCACACAAAACATACTACAGTTATAAATGCTTTGTACACAAATCATGACGTGTTTATTATTAATGACATTAATGTGATGATTTCGCTGATTTAAGCTACGTTTTTGTTTAATAGTGATTTAAACTATAACTATGGCCTTTTACTACCTTAGCACATCAAAATCCTTCAAAGAAATTAATACTATGTTACAAATGTTGTAATAATACGATATGCAGGTTTTAATGTCATGTAATTCCAAGAACTTCACTTGAAATATTTTAATATTATAAAATAGCGTGTTAATATACCGTGATGAAATGTATGAAGACGATTTAGATCCAAAGAATTATTTGTTCATTGTATTGTTACCTTTGTGTAAATACGAATACAACAGTATAAAATTATAAATTGTCTTGTTAAGTTATAATTGGTTTCAGAGATTAATATTTGTATTTCTAAGTAAGATAAAAGTATCTAATAGCATGGTGTCACTCAAGTATCATAAAACGGAATGATTAGAGAAAAAATATGTTTCATTAAACAATTAATTTCAAATAAACTATTGGTTGAGCTATCACAACGTTTCCATGATATTAAATTTTCTATCTAAGCTTCCAGTGAAACATAACACTACTTTCACTGATAATACAGTTTGCTTTTTATCATACCTTTTCAAAACGTTTTATCTGGTAGACATTTTACTTTCATTATAGTTAAATATGTGAGATTAGGTATACTCAGTTTGTGAATTTATTGTTTTAATAAATATATTTTAGTTATCCCGATACATCCCAGTGGAAAAGGTATTGCATGTAATCCTTAATGTTGCTAATGACGGTAGGGAACGTTTACAAATCCCTCGACTCTATAATGTTCCAATGAGATCTCGTTGGGCTACGATATTGACTACAATTAGTCTAGTTATCCATCAATGTTATTTGTCTTCAAACCATAGCTTAAGAATTGCTAACCGTGAATTTGTCGTCATTTGTTCCTAATCAGTCCGTTTTACGGTACATAATTTCTGGCGAACAAGAAATTATCTGGTATGGTATCAAATTAATCCAAGTTTTAAAAATGTCTTACTTTTCGAAGTAAACAAGTCTTCCAAGCATCCAGTAACCTGTAATGTTGATCCCCAAGATAAAGAGTCTGGTTCTCCTTAACGATACCCACAGTATCATGAGAGTAGAAGGATTGGTTTAGGATAATAATTTTCAGAGCTATAGGAAATTCAGCACCTTCTAATACTACTGTAGACACAATTGATACAAGACATTTTAAAATTGTGTACGTGGATAAATTTCGATAGTATTTTATCATGATCATTTTGTGATCATTAAATTCTAATTCATACTTTGAAAACTTTATTTAAGAAAATATAAATAGCAGAATGACAACGTTTTATACACACATTTTCTACAATAAAAGTTGTAAATGAATGGATTAAAGACAAACAAATATAATATACTGTACATATCTATTTCTGTTATGGCATAAAATTTGAATTGTATAATAAAATACATAACTGTTTATTTCAAAGACTAACATTCTCAATAAATTAACAATAAAGACATCATAACTATTATTTGGGTAGAATCAATACAATATAATTTGTTGTTATAAAATAAAACGCTATATACCAGAGAAATATGTTAACGATCAATGGTCTTACTCCATGATTTAACTCGTGGTTGGTGATAAAGTTTCTTATAGTGGCAGACATGATCTCCTTCGTTAGCCAATACTCTGATGACAGGCGTTTATGAAAAGCCGAATAAAGAAACGGTCCTCAATAAGGGGGCTTCTGTTAAATGTGCACTTATTGTTCTACCATTTTCAAAGTTAGAAATATACCTATTGTTTTAAAAATCATTTCCGGTGTTCAGGGGACTGCTTATAGGCAACTGATGAATATAATGTTATGAAATAGGTCTATACGTGTTTTGTCAACTTTGTGTTACCTTACGAAACAGTAAAGCTATGAAATGATGCTTTCCATACAACATTTTATTTTGCATAACTGAACAGAACAAGAACATATGTATTGTTTAACTGTTCCGTTATTAACGTTTTTTTATGCATCACATTAACTTGCTGATGTTTCACGAGCAACGATATCTAAGGAGGGGAAAACATCATCAGCAAAGGGTAACAGTTGGCGGAAGCGCATACTCCAGGATCGTAATGTCCATGCATTAAACCAAACTGTAAGGAAAAACAGGTGAGTAACCGCAGATTAATTGAGTGCAAATTTTAACCTGGGGCGAGAGCAGCCAGTTTAATCGAAAACGGTCCGCCACAGTCTAGTTGCAGTGCACAAGCCTCTTACCACACCTAGCAATGCGTGTCCAGTGATGCAAAGAGCACAGGCTATGGACTACCGAGCATTGGAGAAATGTGATACGATCAGATGAATCATCGTTCATAATGTTCTTGACAAATGGACGAGTGTGCGTGTGGTGCCAACCTAAAGAACTCTACAGCCATGAGTACTTAGTTTCAACATTGAAGGGTTCTGGTGGTTCTGTAATGGTGTGAGGCGCATCAACTTTACTATTATTTCATTTTTAAAAAGTTTCATAGTACAATTTCGAACTGATTTCTTGCTTGTTTTGGTAAGGCTCGGCATAGCCAGGTGGTTAGGACGCTCGACTCGCAATCTGAGGGTCGCGGGTTCGAATCCCAGTCCCACAAAACATGCTCGCCCTTTCAGCTGTGGGGGTGTTATATGTGATGGTCAATTCCACTATTCGTTGGTAAAAGAGTAGCCCAAGAGTTAGCGGTGGGTGGTGATGACTAGCTGTCTTCCCTCTAATCTTTCACTGCTAAATTAGGGACGGCTATCGGAGATAGCCCTCGTGTAGCTTTGCGCGAAATTCATAACAAACCAAACCACACCACAACAAGTACATATAGTTCTATGATAATGCCTCTACTTTTTATAAGTGAATATTTACATTAAACATGTTTGCATCTATGAAGGATATGGTCGTATACATGGTTGAGCAATGAGAACAGGCTTTAATATCTCTGTAAAATGGTCAAACACATTTTAGTTGAAACAGAATTCCTGAAAACGTTGGCTTATCATAAATACTTCATTGCGTGAATGTTTTGGATATGTGTGAGCTGGTGGATTCACATCAGTGATTGTTACATGCTGTCTTCTCCAGTTTCAACTTATTTTAAATTGTCTTCAAACCTCGTTATATACACTACTCCTTCTTTGGGAAAAGCATCACGTTATACCTAAGTAGTGTTCAGGAATCAACTTGGAAGACATTAGAGCAGTATTCAGGAATCAACTTGACAGACATTAGAGTAGTGTTCAAGAATTGACTTGACAGACATTAGAGTAGTGTTCAAGAATTGACTTGACAGACATTAGAGTAGTATTCAGAAATTGACTTGGAAGACATTAGAGTAATGTTCAGGAATTGACTTGACAGACATTAGAGTAGTGTTCAGGAATTGACTTGACAGACATTAGAGTAGTATTCAGGAATCGATTTCGCAGATATTAGAGAAGTGTTCAGGAATCGATTTCGCAGATATTAGAGAAGTGTTCAGGAATCGACTTGACAGACGTTAGAATAGTTTTCAGAAATTGACTTGACAGACATTAGAGTAGTATTCAGGAATCGACTTGGCAGACATTACAGAAGTGTTCAGGAATCAACTTGGCAGACATTACAGAAGTGTTCAGGAATCAACTTGGCAGACATTACAGAAGTGTTCAGGAATCAACTTGGCAGACATTACAGAAGTGTTCAGGAATCAACTTGGCAGACATTACAGAAGTGTTCAGGAATCAACTTGGCAGACATTAGACTAGTGTTCAGAAATCGACTTGGCAAACATCAGAGTAATGTTCAGGAATGGACTTAGCATACATTAGAGTAGTGTTTAGGAATCGACTTGTAACAAAGCGCCAGTTACCTTATAATAGTGTCCCAAGAATAAGTCTCATGTAGCTTGGTGACACTTAGTATAATGTATGTACACTATACGATTCATAAATTTTAACATTCTGGGAACTCGTAATTAGCGTTTCGGTGGTAATATTCAATATGCATCTGATAAACTGTATGACCCGACACATAATTTCTTAGTTGAGACGAGTTCTGATAGGTACTC